GAGAGGCCGCCACACACCATGGCTCCCGGCTGCAACTCAGGCTTCCCTAGTTTTAGGAAGGCTTCTCTGGGATTATGGGGGAAAACTGAACAAAGCTAGGAGTATATCTATATTCATGAATCATTCAAGTGGAATGGATTCTTCTTAGTCAGACACAGCTCTCCAATGAGGTTTGGAAGTCTAAAGAATGTTTCTAAAATTTGTCCACAAGCAAGTGAACATTATATTATACGGTAAGAACACAGAGAGGACTTGCCTTGCTGTAACAAAGCGGGTGGATTGTAATAAAACACGTCCGAACATTCTCGGAGCCCAGCCATTCTCTCACCACGCCGCGAATGGCGGTTTGGCCCTGGTGTTAGACCCCGAGAAGTGCCACATCCCATCTGGGTGGTGGGACAGCTGTGCCAGGCTCCCCTTCCCGCCCAGGCCCCTGGCAGTTACTCCCTGACTGCAGACCCAAGGACTGCGCTCTACCTGCCATCAGGACAAGCAGTGAAAACAGCCCCTTCGTAAGACAAGCCCAAGACGCGGAGGAAGCGAAGATGAGAAATGACTTGCACACGGCACAGGAGCTGGGGCGCCGTCGCTGAAATGGGGGGCGGAGGAAGGAAATCAGGCCCCCCTTGCAGATGATGACGGATATAATTACATGACTCGACAGAACGCTGATGGCGCTTAAACCCCTCCACCTGGGAGTGCTCAGGATGTTTGAAAAGATGTATCAGAAACGGATGGAGCCCTAATCTTCCCTAGTCTTCAAAATCACAGAACGATACCATCCTCCCTCCAGATGGCAAAATTGGGAGCCTGGACCATTCCCCGCATCTCCATCAGCCCCTGCAGCTCTTCCTTCCCACTCGACCTACCCTCTGAACATTATTCCAATTTCCCTGCTACTTCTTATTGCTGCTAATCATTTTTTCACCTGAATTATTTCACTTTTCCTTAGCATGCTCCCCTTGCCAGTTTGAGCAATGCCCATTAATCGACCCCCCTACCCCGGTGATCTCTCTCACCTGTGGCTTCTGCCTAGCCGCTCTTCTGGTTAGGCCCTTTGATGTCTGTCGTATCTATTTTAGGGCAAATCCCAGCATCTCAGCGTTTCCCGTAAAGTGTTAAGGATGTCGCTCTTGCCTACCCCCTGCGCCTTCTCTCCTGCCGTGCGCCTCTGCCCTCCCGCTTGCGTCCTGGCACAATCTTGGCCTCGCTCTGCTGTTGCCATTTCTCTTCCCTCTTCTTCCCCCCCTTTCCCTGGCTAATTCCTTCGGCTCCTTCAGGACTCGGCTCAGGCACTTTATCTTCTGCAGGTCTTCCTTGAGCCCTGCGGTCTGGCTATGTGCCGTCTCCCGGGCGCCTCTGGCCTTGAGCAACACCTGCCACACTGGGCTGTAACTTTAAATCTCCCACTGGACTGGGGCTTCCTTGAAGTTAGACAGTTTTGTGTTTGTCCTCGGTACTTGTCATATATCAGCTACCACGTACATGTTTATTAGATTGGAAATTAAGACCTACTCTATTTTCTCAGCATTTCTGTGGTGGTCTACCAAAAATCTTCCCAGTTTTCTAAGCTTTCATCCTTAACAATCCAGAACTCAACAATGTGTTTCTTCTTTTTAAATTTCAATGAAAATAATACAGAAAATATATTTTCTTCGTTTTTTGAAAGAGGCAAACATAGTTGAAATTATATCATGCTCGGGAATGTGAGGGCCTGGATAGAAGGCTGAAGAAGAAATAGGAGAAAAAATCTAATCTTATCTTGTAGGGTGTATGTGCCAGGTACTCTGTTAACATCCTGACTTCTTTACACTTAATTCTCACAACCAGGCTTCTGAGGTGGGTGTTTTTACCATTGTTTTCACAAAGATGAGGCTGAAGTTCAGACAGGATAGACACTGGTTGAAGGCAACATACCTCATAACTTGTTATGTCAGAATTTAAGAATAAATTTCCCCAGACTACATCACACTAGATCTCTGAAGAGAAAATACTTGCCAAAAGGACTTCACTAAATAAAAGGAAGTATGTCTTATAGGCTATAACAAATAATGGAGAGGTAAAAACTATAAATATTCTTATTTTTGACATAGGAGGTGCTGTTAAACACTTACTTGGAGCTGAATCACAGAACCGTAGTCAAATCTTATCTGGAGAGACTCATGTTAGGGGACAGTATTCAGCAAGCCCGCAATTAGCTTCGGCTTCTCACCCTTTAAGTTTCTACTCTGCCCAGGCCCCAGCCACCCGTTTCTTTTTCCCCCATCAGAAAGGCTTTGAGAGCCACTGAAAGGTAATATGCTCAGCAACCCTGTGTAAAGATGAACCTTGCTCTCCTGACCAGACGTGACTTTCTAGAAGTGACCCCTGTTTCCCTAGGAGTTCTTGTGTCTCCTTCATCTCCAGTTGCGCAGTGTGGCCCTTTGGCCATTTATGCTTATAGCTCCTTTCATGGCACTCACCTGTCCAGCTCATGTGCACTCACTACATCAACAAACACATGGACAGTGCATGTGCCATAGTCCTGGTACCACACCTATTTTCGTAGTAATATGTCTGTTCACCATATCCACTGTCTGTATTAACTGTCTACATCCCAGCTTTTCTTACCCCAGAGGGGAGTGGAGAAAATAAAGAAGCTTCCAGTCATTTTCCAGTATTTTCTCCCCACGTATTCATTTTCTCACAGCTTTATCCGAATACTTGAGGAATTATACTGCAATGCTTCTTTTTATAGGGCTGTGAGCTCCTTAAGGGATGTTCCTCACTAAATGTGATGCATGAATACATGAATAAATGGGAAAATGTAAGAAACAAATTCCTAATGACCGGATGAACATGCTAAAAGAAGATAGTCTTTTTTGTAGCTTTAGGGTTTTGGTTTTCAATAGTAAACACAGAGTTTGGTACCAATTAGTTACACTCCCTAATTTTTATCAAAACAAATAACTTATTTAACAGAAAATCAAATAAAATTTAAAAAAAGAGGTAGATGCCAGTGAGCTCTCTCCTGCCCGTCTCTTCAGTCATCTGTTAGGCTCATCTCATGCCTCGTGTTAGAAAGTTGAGCATCGACCCGTGATCATCTGAGGATTTCCACTTCACTCCCAATTCTCACCCTCTGCCATCGTCTTCCAACTGTAATACATCTTAATAGCAACAAGAATGCCTTGAATATATTTCCTAAAGAACTCTGCTATGTATATGTTTTTAATAGGGTATATTTCAGGTGAAAATAATAATAAAAAAGAATCCAATTGTTTAGCTGTGGTACTTAAGAATAACTAGATGAAGCCTCCCTTGCTGAAAGGAAAGATGACAGGAAGAGTGTCATTACCTTGAAGTGTCTTGGTAAATAGGCATGCCTGCCAAAGGCTAGATGAAGGATGATTGGTAGGTGGACTGACAGGTGAGGAATGGATGGGTGGTTTCAATAAATAGATGGGAGCAGTCACGTTGGGGAGGCGCACGGATGTACAGATGGAGTAAGAATCAGATAAGTGGGAGATAGAGCATGTGAATGAATAGGTGAGTGGTTAGCTGATGGAGAAATAAATTGGTACGCTGATGATTGATCGAGCCGAGTGGCCGGATGGAGTGAAAGACCGATAAATGTCTGTGCCAGCTGGAGAGAGGACGGGTGGGTAATTGTGAGCAGGAGCAGGAGAGGGTCCGGTGTGGGTGGGAAGAGGGTGGTCAAAAGGAACAATGAAGGAAGAAGGGAGGAGTAGCACTGATGGTATTAAGATGGTTAAAGGGCCTGAAAATCTGTTTCCTTGACAAGCCACGATTTTTACAATGAGCCCGAGGAACCTGGAAACTCCATCATCAGGACCTACCATTTCCTTGGTATTTTAATTTTCAAAGAGCAGGGTCTAGTAGATCAAGTTATCTGTGTCCCGTTCCCTGTGAAGGAGACAGAGTCGTGGAAGGTCAGGGATCAGCCCTGGTCTACCTAGAAAGCCAAGAAGAACCAAGCCTCTTAACTCCAACTCAGGGCCCTGGCCAGAGGCGCTAGCCACGCCGTAATATCAACTGAAGAACTTTAACCCCTTTCTGCTAAATCCCCAAACCATAAACAGCCACTGGTTATAAGTTTTATTGGAAGGAAGTCTTGAGAAGCCCCATGGCTGAGAGAGGACCCGAGGCTGCCCAGAGAACTGTGACCTAAAACACACTAAGAGGAGAAAATTCGCCCGGGGTGCAGATGAGAAACAAGCACGGGAAGAGCAAATGCCCAGGCCCGGATCACTTATCCAGATAACGGCAGAGCCGGGGGGCTCACAGAAGCTGAGTGCACAAAAGAGGTTAATGTCCACTCCTTCAGAAGGCCAGGTCAACGTGTGACGAAGGTAGAGGAGTTGGAGCTTTAGTGGCAGAGAAAGGTGTTTTAGAAAAGGCAGTCAGAGGACAGCAGCTTCCTCTCCGGGTCTCTTTTCCATGTTATTACCCGTAAGTATGCTACAGTAAACCCTAAGACGGAAAACAATAAAAAAAATGACATACGTCTGTGAATAAATGTGCGTCACAGTCACCGTGTCATCTCACCCTCACTCTTGTTATGGTTGTGCTTAAGTGAGGGGAATCAAGCTGCAGAAATTATTAAGGAGTTGAGTGCTCCGACTGAGGGGTATCTGGTCATTGTATTTCTCAAACTTCTCTTCTCATTCCATTGAGCCTAGGTCAGTAAATACATTTTTTAGGCTTTGAGGCTGCAGGTATATTTTATATTATTTGTAAATGGCATAGATATTTCATATACAGGTGTAATAAAGAAAATGCTCAGACTGCCTTTTATGCTATGTGTGTGTGTATGTGGGAGAGGAGGAGAGGAGAGGAGAGGAGAGGAGAGGAGAGGAGAGGAGAGGACGGTAGATGCATTTCTGATTGCATCTACTCCCCAAAGCCTAAACCACACATATGAGAGTAGCAGAGTCTGCTTCCCTTTTCTCCATTCCTGAATGCTCAATGATATATCCTAATAAAAAGCCCCCCCAAAATTACAAATTTCTTTGAACTTTATTGATACACTGCACAATCACAACCATCTCGTGTTCATCCTGAATTAGAAAAGGTTACAACTACAATGTAACATGCACAAAATTCAGGTAGTACTTTCACCCTTAATACAATTATTGACAGAAATCAAGTCTTCATTGATTTTTAAGGAAAAAAAAATACGGAAGAAAATTAAAGAAAGGAAGAACTCTAGGAGGCTGACAAAGCCATACTCTTGTATCATGTGATAGATTTTTAAAGCATTTGCACATAGATTTGTTCTAAGGATAATTGTGAGGATGGGCACACCCATTGTCTGACACAGCGATGACGGCACTATTGATAAGCCATAATTTTTTAATCTAGAGGACTCTGAACTTGGACAGATACATTTTCGTACACGCACACATTCCTCACAACTGCACTGTACATGTCACAAAAGTTTCTGAATGATTAAAAATGCTCCCTCTAACTAATGCAAGGGCAGCTATTATTACTTATCATTGCTATTATTGATGTCCTTATAAATCTGCCGGTAGCAGAGAATGTGGCCAAGAAAGAAGAGTAGAAGGTTCACAATCTTTCTTTCTGCACTCAGTGGTGTGGACCAACCGGAGCAACTGCGTGCCTACCAAAGGGCACCTTTGAAAGAAACAAAAAGGAATCTTTCAAAATACTGGAAATCAGGTTTAACCGACTACTTTCAGGATGAAGACAATCACGTCTAATTGAGTCCACCCCGCTCTCCTTTGGACTCCCAGCGTTCTGCACCTGAAGGCTAAATTGCACTCGTTCAGCTCTTTTAGCCACATTTTCTAATTGCAAATCTCTCTCTTCTTCCTTTCATTTACTTCCCTTCTCTTAAATAAGAAATGAGGGAAATGAGACTGGCATTTTTATTTGTTTCCTTTTAGTGATCATTAGGAGTTCTCATCATATGGTGTCTTTTTGAAATGATGCCTTCCTAGTTACACACCTGTGAAGTTTTACTGCAACTGCGCAAACTTATTTGTCTTCAGAAGTAAAAGGCAGGGACACTTTGGATAGTATGAGGGTAGGCGATTGGGTGTAAGCATTTCTAGGAATAGGTCTTGTGCAAAATGAAAGAAAGATCCTCCTTGTTGGACAAAAAAAATTAAAAATAAATAAATTTCCCAAGAGGAAAAATTTTATGCTGCTTTCCCTAATTCCAAAATAAATTAAACTTTGCTCTTTAAAAAAAGTTAAAAATTTGTGTATTGTTTTCTTTGGGGGTGGGGGTAGAGAGGGAGAATGGGGAGCTGGTTCCAGGTGTTGCAAAGCCACTTTTTTCTCTGGTGAAGACACAGAGTGAAATTGGGAAAGATGACCCCACCCCATAGCTCTCCTCACCTTGAGCCATTTCTCCCATCCTCCTGCTGATGGGGCTGATGGCCCATCAGCAACTACAGAGAAGACAATCTCAGTGGCACTGGATGCACCGGCCAAAACAAGGCTATTCCATTTACAGCCACTCCTGATGCGGGACAGTGATAAGCTCTCTTTGGATCCACTGCCCACCTTGAGGTTCTCTACACTTTTCACGAAAGAGTTCTTTTGACAGAAGTAGAACTTGCTAACTCTTCCATGCTGAGTGCAAGGTAACTGGATTGATGCAGAAACAGATCCTTAAGTTCATCCTTGGTTGTGGAGTTTCTAGAGTCCCAGAGCACACTTTCCACCCAGGCCCGACCTGGGAAGCGTATCATCTAGTATGAGGCCCCGGTTCAGCGGATACAAAGCCTTACCTTTCCTTCTGTCCAGCTGAGCACAGTGGAAGCAGAACAACCGTGCACAGCGCTCTCTGCATACAATATGTGCATGTGTTCACCACCTTCCTCTTGTATGTCTCCTCTCCTCCAGTTAAAACAGGAATGAGAACAACTAAACGCACTTGCTTAGACGCGCAGGTGACTACATCAGGCACTTGACATTAAACTTCTAAAAAAAAACGAGCTTGGCCAGAGTCTTAACACCAGCACTTTCGTCGGCATTACTTTGGTGGACGTCCGTATCACCTTCGCTTGGGGAAGGAGAAGGGTTTCGGAATTCCTCTCACCTAATCTCCTGATAAGCACTGTATGGTTTTCTTTCTGCGGAAAACCCGTGAAGAACTATTGGTTGCTCAGAGACTTGTTTGTTCTTTCCCCCTTGGCCCCTACCCCACCCTCACCATTGACACCTTGAAACAAATGTACCCAGCAGGCCTTATCCATCCACCCTCCACGTGTAGGGTTGAAAGAGCATGTGTAAGTGTGGACATTGTCTTTAGTGAGCATTTACTGCTTTATAGCTTCAGAAAGTTGGGGAGGAGCTACTATCATATGGAGCCATCCCCTCCAAAGTAACCCAACAACGCAGAAGCTGGGGAGGTCTGTTGTAAACAAGAGCAATTTTCTTTCCCAGCGCCCAGTTTCCTTGGGTCTCATTTACTTGGTTTGCTTTATCCCAGGCAGATGAAGACAGGCTGTAGGTTTCTCCTCCTCTGAAAGGCTGGAATAGGCAACCAGCAGAGGTGCTTCATGGTATCCAGTGGGAGTGGGCAGTGCGGAGTTTCTCAGTGACTCTGAGCCCCAGCCTCCCTGTGCTCCAAGGGTCCTGGGGATCTTCCTGGACAAAGGAAGATGGACCCCTCCTCGAGAACAAGCCTCGGACTGAAGAGCAAGTGCAGCTTGTCCATTTTAAGAACACTGTTCTCCAAAACCACCAACTCTCCACGGCCTCCACACTTACTTTACTCCAAGTATCATCAAATTTATTATCAGTAGAGCTCTCCAATGACCCATTTAATTCTCATACAGTGTCTGAGACCAGCCCAACTCCAGGTGCTGAACGTGGTGACAGATCTGAAACGCTGATGTCCAACTTTTAATTATGACTTTACGCCAGCTCATCATTGTCCCTGGAACTTGGAATCAATACACTGCTTTTGGCACATCATTTATGTTCCCAGAATCTGGCTCCCGGTGGCTCACTAGGAAATGCAGATGTCTGTTTACAGCTGGCAAATGTAATATTAATTTCACTTGCACCAGCTCTAACTCTTATGAAAGTGCCTGGCTTTTTGTATGCCAAGGCAGCCTAGGTTTGCATTTTACATATGCATATAGCCACACACATGTTTATTGTTTAATATTTTCCTGGAAGAGTTTCCCAGCTGGAGCAGGGCAGGTCTGGGGGACAGTCATTGTTTACGCTCCTCTCTCTCCCTCTCGGTAGGACCGTCCCTGCAGCGCAGAGATGGAGCACGGCCTCCTGTGTTCTCAGCGCCATGCTTTGGGTCACAGGCATCTTTGCTGGTGAGTCCTTCCTGTCCCAGGAGGTGATGCAGAAAGGTCAGGTCAGCTCCTGTTTATGTGCTGGGTCTGGTTGAAGACGCAGAGCTGAGGGTGTTCTCCCCACAGCCAGTGGAGAGGAAGCCTGTGGCAGAGGGAACTATGAGTTGCTCACACTTTCCCCCTCTGTTTGCAGTGTTGTGTTAATCAAGTGCTTGGAAATTAAGTCAGTTGCTCAAGTGCCCTCCTCAGCTCAGAAGAGCTTCCTGATACAAACGCCAGAGTTGTCAACACACCCACTATGTAATTGGCTTCATCAGCTTTTTACTGGATGGTTTTTCAGGCAGATTAAACGAAGACTGGAGCAGAGAGGAGACAATAGCCGAAGTCATCGCGCTCAGACAGGTGGACTGATCTCTTCACATTCCACAGGCAGATGTGTTTTCACTTCTTTGTTCTTGCTATTAAGAAAAGCCAGCCATGGGGTAAATCCATAGGTTCCTGACATACGCTTTCTTGAAAGGCAGGGAGAAGCCTGAAGGTTGGCACCTTGGTCCTTCAAGTGTGAAAATTGAAAAATACAGGACTAATCAAGGCTCCTCCAGGGTCAATCTGCTTCCTAAGAAGATGTTTTTGGAAACATAGTCTCTTCTGGGAATAATGAGTGATGATCATTAGAATTCGACTTTGGTCCATCCGTTAACAGCATCTACCTTGGGTGGATGGGCTACCACATTCCAAAGAGTCCATGACATATTGCTTTTCTATGTTGTTAGCCTGTGAGAGCACTGGCTCTCACATGAGAAGCTGATAGGTAATTCTGAAGATGCCAATGTCTGCTGAAGGCGGGGGAGAAATGAATACAGTTGAATAGACACAATATGATTAGACATTAATATGGTGATGAATTGATAGTGAGTAGCGAGGGAAGAAATAGAAAGAAGTGTTAGAAAATTACATTGATAGATTGATAAGTGGAGTAAATAGATCGCTAGAGAGGAAGATGGGTGGGCAGATAATTGAATGGAGAGGAAAATCAGACAATTGAGTAGATGGATAACTGTATGATTACTTTGATAGATAGCTTAATAAAACCTAAACAACCAGCCATCTATGCATCATTTTTTATGAGTCGGACAGCATTTTTAAAAGGGAAATACTATCCTCAAAATACCTACCCCCTTTTTGGTCATTTGACTTCTACATTTTTAGTGTTGGGTTGAGTGAATAGCTTCGAGGCTCTAATCCCTGTGGCTGGTGAGAAACGCAAATAGAGCAGAGTGGCTAGAGGAGATGGCAAGGTTATTTATATACGTCTCTATATAGGTGTGGATACGCTGAGATAAGTTCCCAGAAAGAAAGGATGTGAACCCTAAAGTAATTAGGTAATAATAAACGTGGAGAGAGGGATATATACATTGTAATCTGGAAAATGGTCCAAAGCTTAAAAGACACAGATAATAGGACACTTGGATACAAGTCTTGCTGTGCACTACATTAAAGTCAAGTTGTGTCTTCAGGGTGTTTATCATGAGGCACGTTTTCCCCCAAATGGAGCTCATGTTTTGGTATGTGGGACAGGAGCGGTTGGTGGTGATGATGATGGGGAGGGAAGCAGAGGAAAGGGAAGGGCCAAGGTAGCAGGAACACATTCCATTTTTGGACACACCAATGAATGATCATCCTACACATGGTAGAACCCTGCCCACCCCTCTCCCAACCCCACTCATTTAAACTGTAAAAATAAAAAAATAAAAATCAAGTAAACAAAAAAAACCCAGAAATAAAAAAAAAAAAAATCAAGAAGAATATCAGAAACAAAGAAACAAAAGAAGCCCAAACTGGTTTGCCCTCCGCAGTGTAGATTAAAGTCTGTGATATGGAGAAGCAGGCGTTGCTCAGAGAACCTATGGTTTCTTATCAAAACTTGATGAAGAAGTGGGCAAAGAGGGTCCCTGAGAGCCAGAGACAAGCCAGTGCTCTAGAGGCCGAGTTTACACCATCAATGACTGCTCCAGGCCCTGTGTAAGGGAAAGAGAGACAGAGCCATTAGCATGTACCCAAAGGTACTTATCGATACTTATCGATGAGTAAATATATAGACATGCTTCTTTGTGAACATTCCCCCACCTTTCACCCCCACCCCTGACCCTTCTAAGTCTGGACAAATGGAAAGTGCTGTGGGGAGTATTTAGAAACTCAAAGGGGCAACTCAGGGGGATGCCTTGACCACTACAGCCTGCTCTGAAAGATGGGGCTTAAAAAAAGGGGGTGGAGGGAGAAGGTGACAGTCAGTTGGGCTTATGGGCTAGAAAGTTAGGGCTGTAGACAGGGCTAAATGGTACGGCAGGACCTGATGGCTGTTTCCTAAGCAATACGCTAACTGTGTTCTGTCTTTGGAGGAAGCATCCTGGTTAGATCAGGATGAGAGGAAAGGATGGCCATGGTGTGCATGAGAGAGTCCAGGGCAGAGAGAACAGGGAGGGGCATTGGGAGGGATAGAAACTTCTTGTGAGCAGCAGGAGTGTAGGGGCTGACGTGGCAGACGTCCCGTCCTGTGTGACTCAGCTATTGTGGCGGGCCCTCCTGAAGCAGCTGAAGAAGAACACTAAGGTTTTAAAGATGATAACTGGGTTTATCAGTCACTGGTGCCTCTTCAAAAGGAACAAAGAAGACTCAGCCTTTCAAGTCCAAACTGCCAGCTAATGACTCGGCCTGAAGGAGTTCTCCCTGTAGCTCGCTCTTTCTTCTTCCCTCCTTCTGGCCCTTTCCGCAGCCCCAGTGGCTCATTCAGGCCCCGTTGAATAAGTCCATAGAATCACAAGTGCTACCCCTTTCCTTTCATCTGCTGTCCTTGACAAGACAAACCACATGGATGGGATTGTTCTAGCCAGTTCAAAAGGCCCAGGGCAGATGTGTCTGTGGCTAACTGCCTCTGTGCCCCTCCTTCACTGCTATTGGCAAGCCGTAGGAATTTAAGGTCATAATTAAGACCAGTAGCCAGCAAGCGGAGTGTTCCAGGGAAAGCAAAGCAAGTACAAGCCAAGGGATTAGAAGCCATCAGCAGATAGTCCTACAAGGCCTGTGGCAAAGGGAAGGAGTTGCAAATAAGGCGAGGGTGCCTCTTCTACCTTTTCAAGCCAGTACCACCCTGCCTTTTTAGAAGAAAATTGGCTTATTGGAAATGAGCATGGCTACTTTAATAAGCAGAGGTGGTGCAGGGTCTTCTCAGACAGGACCCAATCATTTAGCTTGTCAACCGCTTCGTGTGGATCTGTGTCTGCCTAGGAAGAGACTGATGCTAAACTTTGCTTGGGAAAGTATAGGTGTCTCACTGAGCATCAGCTGTTTGAACATCAGGAATTTCAACATGGATAACTTTTCTTCCTCTGATTTACAATAACTCTCTTAATTGGCTAAATTAAGAGGAAATAAAGTATGTAATTCTCTTATTGACTAAAAATTCATTTTTACATGATAGCTTGAGAGTCTGGCTCATATTTCTCTGCAGTTGTTTGTTTTTGTTTTTGTTTTTGTTTTTTATAGAGTATCCATAGACAAGGGCAGGATAAAGTCTCTAGCTCAGGGCTACAATCTCTATGGAGACTCCATAAATATTTATGGAAAGCAGCCTGACTCTGGGGCCTCCATCAGTCCTGATATATATCCTAAGGAACCATGCTGGCCTACAAATGTACTGGGTTGGAAAATATCCAAGTTAAAGTTCAAGGTAATTTTCTATATTGTCTTCTAAAAAGAATGAATAATTTAGGTTTTCCAGTGAGTTTATTAAGAAATGAGCAATATAGATTTGTAAAACCAGTGTCTCTTTAAATGTTTAACCACTGTGCGGTACACCTGTGTCTTTATCTAATTCATTGTGTTGATATTAAGAGACTGTTGAAGCTCTAATAAGCTCTACTCTAGAGAGACAGAAATCTTATTGTAAGAATAACTTTATTCCAGCTTCCATGGTGGACTTTAGCATTTCTGTGACGTCACGCTACAGCACAAGGTCGCATGGTGCTGACACAAATAGTTATGTATATAAGAAAGCAAAGCATAAAAGGGTGAGGAATGAGAGAAAACAAGGTGGCCTCATAAAGAGCAATGCGTGTCTCTCCTGGGACGTGGCTGCTGACATAGATGCTCAGCGCGGATCGGCAGGGGTTAGAGCCACAGGGCAGCTTCAGTTGAATGTTCCAAAGAGTAGGAACCAGGAAGGTGACTTACTGGGTTTAAAGGGTGCTCAGTTTGCTTAGGATCATAATAATAACATACATTCATATTGTGCACTTCGTGTGACAAGTATGATTCTAAATACTAAATAGTTATTAGCCCATTTAATCTTTAAAAAGCCCACTGTGCTATGTACCATTGACATTCCCATTATATTAATGGTGAAACTAAAGAACAGAGCAGTTAAGTACTTTGACTATGGTTATACAACTTATACACCTAGAGTTGGGTTAGAATTGAGTCACTCTATCTATGGAGTCTGTGCCCTTAATAATTCCAACTCTACTTCTTCCCTATGGAAAATCATCCCTTATGCATGTTTCCCAGGAACCACAGCATCATGTGGTGAGAGGAACAATGGACTGGGAACCGGGAGATCCAATTTCTCTGTGTGACTCTGCTGCTCCCTAGCTGAGTGACATCCTTTCCCTGATCTCGGTTCTTCCATCTACAGAATGAAAGGAAGTTGGGGTTGATGACCTCTAAGATGCTTCTACCTGCATTCTGAGCTATTGTATAAGTGGAAACCCTGCGTCTAGTACTAGAAGGGACAGCTGGTGAGCAGCCAGATGGCCTTTTCCAGTTGATACAAAACCGTCACCACTGTGACTTTTTTCACCTCCACATATCACAGTCTCTTGACGTAGCAACAAAGAGACAAACATTCCTAGACCCCAAGGTTTCCTTCCCAGTGACCTCATTTTCTATGCAGCCTCAACACATAATGAGCCCTGATTTATAGTATTATATAACATGGCAATTTACTGCCAAAGTGCCTTCGGTCAATGAGAGATGACTGAGCTATCCTGGCCAAGGAGTTAATCTAATCCAGCATGATGGAGACTAAAGCTAGCATTGCTTTTCTCATTCAGAGCCTGGCCACACTGGAGATTTGGCAGCTGGGCCAAATACCAGTTTAGAGGGAGGCCCTACAGGAGGGCTCTCACGTCTGTTCAGAGCAAGAAGGGAGTGGCCCACTCTCTGATACACTCTCTAGGTTGGAGGCGTGTGGGACAAAAGCCATCAGCAATGAACTGATTCTTTAATTGCATCTGTACAGTAACCCTGAATCTACTGCAAGTGGAAGAAAGCATCTGGGCTGCGTCTCTCCCATAGGGCTTCTGTCTGCTCAGGCCACTCACCTGGTCAGACAAATGCCTCCGATGCTTTAGCAGAGAAGTGATAGACGGACTGCTGCGATTTAACTATTCGATGTGGTTGCATGACCATGCAGGCTCACATTTGGTTCCTTAGGCTGGTAGGAGGCTTTGCAAACCTTAGCTCAAAGAATCTGTTGCAGGGGAGGACTTGGTACTGGAGGAACTCTTTGCCTGAACTGAACACACGCCTTCAGGTGTCAGGTTGAGTATTATTTTCCTCTATCGTCATTTGTTTAGATACCAGCTGCACAGACTTCTCCAGGCAGCTGGTACCCAAGATAATACTAGTTTTAATTCCAATAAACTGGGTAAGAAATTCAAATGGTGTTTCCACTCTTATTATTTATTTACATTTTTAAATGGAAATAGGGAGAAAGGTAAAGAAAGATAGCTCTTATAACAAACCTAGAATCCAAGGTTTGAATATGTGAGGCGGATTTTTAATCATGTGCTTTTCTACAGAAAACTAACCCTGAAGTACACATGGGTAAAGGTCAAGAAGAAAAGATGGGGCTGAAATAAAGACTAAGGAGCAGGGTCCACGGATGCAGAGGTGGAGCAGACATCTTCTAGGGCCCTGGAGGAAGGTTTTCTGAGCATCTGCACCCTCCACCCAGTCTCGCTGCCTTGTCTTTGTGGCCCTAAACATCCTTTGGGGTAAAGTTACTGACCACGGGAAAAATGCAACTAATCCTGGCAACTTTGGTTTAAATCCTGATTCTGCAGTTTGTGAGCTATGTGATCTTAAAATATTTTAGTTTTGTCATTGAGAATGGGTAAAATACTAAGTTTACAGGATAATTAAAGGATTTGAGTGATCTAAATAGTGCTTGGTACAAAGCAATCATGTGATTCTGGCCACTGCTGCTCTGGTGGCCCCACATGGCCTACCTTCCACTTCGATATTTGCCAAGTACATTAAACCTGAACTGAGGTTTTGGTAAGTGAGAAAGTGCAGAGGTGAGATAGGTGAGATGGAGGATTGGTGCTGAGAGAGGTCATTAGGGTGTGGGACACTGAGTAGGGCAAGGGGAGATGTCTAAAGCCAAGGTCTGTGGCAAGGTCCAAGGGCAAAGGGCCAGCCTGCAAGGGCAAGGAAAGGCACAACTGTTCACTCCATAGGTGTTTGTTGGGAGCCTGCCAGGTGCCAGGCTCTGTTTTCAGAGAGAAATGTAAACACAATTTCTGCCTTCATGAAGCTTGGACTCCATTAGGCCCTTTAATATGTTCTGTGCTAGTTTAAATCAATAAACAAATGAACACAGTAAATAAGTATATTTTAAACCCTCACAGATTCTGAGAGGAAAACATTTGGAACAAAAAATCTAAAATCTCTTTCATCTCAGGAATGTCCTTCCTACTGGATAATCTTAAAAAGATTAAATTTAAGAATTAGAGAGAAATGAATTTGAATTCCAACCCTGCTACTCTCTACCAGAATGGTTTTGGACAAGAAGTCACTTTCCCTGAAACAGTTATTACGTTTTTAATATATAGGACGGGAAGGGATAGTTTTCTCGACCCTTGCAGGGTTGCTCTGCAGATTAATTCAAATGCTGTGTAAGATCATTAACTAAAAATAAAGGATGAATAAATATTAAGTGAATTAGAACCAGAAGAAG